CTGCATACAGTGGGAGTGTAGGTATCTGTCAGTGTGTTTTCTGTATACAGTGGGAGTGTAGGTATCTGTCAGTGTGTTTTCTGTATGCAGTGGGAGTGTAGGTATCTGTCAGTGTGTTTTCTGTATACAGTGGGAGTGTAGGTATCTGTCAGTGTGTTTTCTGTATGCAGTGGAAGTGTAGGTATCTGTTGTGTTTTCTGCATACAGTGGGAGTGTATGTATCTGTCAGTGTGTTTCTGCATACAGTGGGAGTGTAGGTATCTGTCAGTGTGTTTTCTGTATACAGTGGGAGTGTAGGTATCTGTCAGTGTGTTTTCTGTACCATCAGAAAATGAATGAAGGCTGTTTTCTTGAACTTTTCAATCCTGGGGATCGAACAGGCTTCTGTAAATAATCCAAATTTAAAATACTCTCCCTGATCTGAGTGAAGTTCCACAGGTACTCCAAAGCTTGAGACAAATTCTACCTTTGCTAGAGATTTTGCTTCTTGTTTAGGAACATCATATGCATTTGGTGAAATAGTCAATCACAACCATGATTTATATAAATTCCATTGTTACTCTACAGCAGTGAACCCAAACACATAAACAGCAAATCTACTTTAACACAATATTCCTGTAGCTGCCCAGGCTGTATCTTTAATGGATGTTTTCACTCAAAGCAGAGTTCATGTTTTACCCCATTATCTATAGAGCCCAGGGATTCAAGTCAGCAGAAGTGTTCTTTTACTAACTCTATTATCTTCTTAACACCCAAATGTAGAAGGTTGTGAAGATGATTTAGTGCATCAGAATGTAGGGACTGGGGAAGTACCAACTATGATCATCCATTTTGTCCATTGATATATTTTTATTTCTGACAACGACCCCTCTTTAAAGAGAAAGGAATCACTTAACGCACAATTCAACCTTGTTTTGGTTGCTATTTGAAGTGATTGTTTGTCATTGGGATCTTTGTATGCAGATAAAGAGTTTATCTATTTGTTTTCCATTGCTCATAATGTTTGTAATTATTCTCTACACTAATACTGTTATGACAGCTGAAGTCGCGTGACGCTGGGAGCATGCACGCTGGAGTTTCTAGAATTATCGGGGAACCCCGCGATTGTCTGAGTGTTTGC